AGACTCCGCCAAAAAGTGTCATTGTCCCCCTTTCACAGATTAAGGAAAATGAGACTTGAGGAAGCTACCAGGCCGTGTGCACGACCCAGCCCTGCCCCGTTCCAGTACGGAGCAGTCAGCTTTCTCCCTTCATAGAGGAAGCTGGAGAGACTAAAGTGCCTTAATCAATAGCAAAATTTAATACCATCTCTGCATTTTAAGTAGAAAAAGAAAATCGAAACTCGAAATGGCTTGTCAAACCCTGACATTTCTCTTACTACTATTAAATTACACTTTCTTCCTCAAAGTCCACTTATTAGAGAAAACTCACGGACAGTGAATAGTCACTTGAAAGTAAATGTGGATTGTAAAAGTTACATTTTGTCATAAGGTGTTTTTTTCAAGGCTTTGGCCATAGGGCATTTGTGCTTGAGACAGTTAAGAGGGAAAGTGAGAAATCACTGCCCCCACGCCCAGGAGGAGGCCACTCTGAAATCCCTCCGTTCTACTCCTGGGATTTTAGGCACACGTGCACATGCCCCACATGATTTTCAAGTCTCCAGGTCCAGGACTCGAACCACAGTTGGCCATGTGTGAGTCCAGCATCTTAACCACCATGCCACCGGCTGGCCCTGCCATAGGATTTTGACAAATCCAGAAAGGCTGCTGGATGTTTGTTTGGAGAATGTGCAGAGGTGTCCTCCTGCTCCTCCATTGCCCTGGGAGGAGTGGGTCTGAGATGGCAGAGGGAGGACGAGGCTCCAGAGCACCAGGCGCCCGTGTCCAGCCCAGCTCCACCGACTGCTTCGGGGTGCGGCTGACACAGTAGTCCTAGGACCAAGTACGTGGGCTGCTTCTCTAGACAGCTATAAACAAGCCATGTCCTGATTTTCACTGGCAGCCCAAAGGCCTGCTTTGCTGCTTCTGAACTAAGTGGTTCCTGCTCTCTGTTTCCTCGCAGTTTCGACCAATTCCCATGATTCAGGTGTTTGGACCCAAAGACCCACTGCTCAGCTGGGGAGGGGATAGGCAGGCAAACAGGAAGTGTCCCTGCTCTTTCCATGGGCCCCCTGGATCTAGACTCAAAGAAAATGCTGCCAAGTCTTAGCCACTAAAGAGCCAAAACAGTGAGGTATTGTTGAGGCATTCATTTGATTAAGCTGAAAAACCCTCTTTTCCACCTTATTTATTGGTATCACTGTTCTCTCTTATTTTGCTTTCAGATAGTAAATTCCAGCTGGGGTTCATACTGGTTCCCAAGACGGTTTCTGGTTAAAGTAAATATGACAAAACCCTGGAGACGTGTAGAATAAAAGAAATGTCTCCTGGGAAGGGAGCTCAACTTAACTTTGTTGAGAAGCCTATAAACACATTTAGGCATGGCCTACCTTCTCCCCAAGCCAGCGGCCAGGGGCTGCCGTGACAGTGACAGTAACAAGAATTTATGGAGTGCTGACCGGCGAGTGGGCTCTGTGGAAGTCCGACAGCAGGGACAAATGCTCCTTTGTTTGCTGAGGACCAGGGAGCCGAGTATCCTTTCTGGTCCACATGTCTGCAGACGAGGGTCTCTTAGGGTCATCATCTCAGACCCACATTTCAGGAAATTAGAAACAATAAAAAGGAAAAAAGCACGTTTCCAGTTGGAGATCTTACATCCTGGACCTAGTGTCCAATCTCCATGGCGCGGCCGAGCTGCCCTAACTCTCCTCCTGCCTAACGACACCAACACCACGCGGGCACTTTCCATGCAGCCCAGGCCTGTGAGCGTCCTCGTGCCGAACAGGGAGTACATCGCCTGGTTTAGCAGGAAAGTGAATTCTCATTTTCTGAGGAGCTGAGCTGGTTCACTGGCGTTCCAATATGAGTAATATGTTAGGTGTCAGGCCTGTGCAAAATGCAAGTATTACATAATCCCTACAATCACCTGAGTTAGGGATTACTATTTATGTCCATTTTATAGGTAAAGATCCTGATGCCAGTAAGTAACAGGGCTGGGACTCAAACCCTGGCCCTTTCCCCCCTGCAAGGCAATATAGCAAATAAGGGGGGGACGGCTACGACCATGGTCTCCAGTAGAGACTGTAGGTTTCTAGAGATCAAAGAGTTAGGATTTAGACAGATTTGGCTTCAGATCCTGGCTCTGTCATGTACCTGTGGTTTTGGCAAGTCACTGCACCTTAATGTTACCATCTAGGTCTGACAGTGTCTATTACTGTCAGGATTAAATGAGAAAAATACCCACAGAGGTGCCAGGGTAGTTCCTACCATATGTCACAGGCCCGGCAGACATCAGTTTAACACATTCTCCTGCCAGTAAGTAGGAGGTTCCTGACACCTGTTTTTGGTGGGAAAAAAGGCACTGATCTTGAATGCTCATTATATGGAAACGGCTCTGACTCCTCAAGCCCAGGTTTCTACTTGGAGAGGCATGTGAAGGAAAGGAGAAGAAATGATCCCAGTTAAACTGTGGAAGTATCTGTTCTCCTGTGGATGTCCACAGTGGCACTTTCACCTTCTCCAAGCCTGATCCCTCTCCTCAGGTTCTTGTCAGTCTGCTCCCATACCCACAGCTAGCTTACCACCCCCAACCTTTGCAAATTTTTGTATCCCAGTTGACAAAGTGCTAATTGGATTAACAATTCAATGTGAATAGGAGCTAACATATGTGCATTTTAAAGAGCTGTTTTATGAGGACACTCCTTCCTGCTTGGCTTTGCTTTTGTTTATACTGCCTAAGTGAGGCCACTGTGGCTCAGACCCTAGCTGGAGAGGAGACTGCTCTAGTAGACAACATTCCGGAAGTGCAGTTATGTCCAGAGTCCAGATCGCAATGACTCTGCCATGGGGCTGAAGGTGGGCTAGGTACACTGGGCACATCCCTAGTGGCAGCGAGAGCAATAGTCATGCACTTTCTTAATGCAAAAGTGGAATACGTGAGCTCATGGAATTGTGGGGCAGAAATTTGAGGCCCTTTTTTGTACATTTGAGTATTTTGCGGAGGAAATCATTATGAAAAAAGTTTTAGATTCAGTACAGAAAGAAAAATTGGTATCAAAATGGGAACTAGAACCCATAAAACTGAATAAATTCAAAATGCAAATATATCATAAAGCATGAAGAAACAAACATCGTTTATGAAAAAACTTAAAAGCCAATTAACCTAAAATAATGGCAATAAAAGTGTGCATTTTAAAGAGCTGTTTTATGAGGACACTCCTTCCTGCTTGGCTTTGCTTTTGTTTATACTGCCTAAGTGAGGCCACTGTGGCTCAGACCCTAGCTGGAGAGGAGACTGCTCTAGTAGACAACATTCCGGAAGTGCAGTTATGTCCAGAGTCCAGATCGCAATGACTCTGCCATGGGGCTGAAGGTGGGCTAGGTACACTGGGCACATCCCTAGTGGCAGCGAGAGCAATAGTCATGCACTTTCTTAATGCAAAAGTGGAATACGTGAGCTCATGGAATTGTGGGGCAGAAATTTGAGGCCCTTTTTTGTACATTTGAGTATTTTGCGGAGGAAATCATTATGAAAAAAGTTTTAGATTCAGTACAGAAAGAAAAATTGGTATCAAAATGGGAACTAGAACCCATAAAACTGAATAAATTCAAAATGCAAATATATCATAAAGCATGAAGAAACAAACATCGTTTATGAAAAAACTTAAAAGCCAATTAACCTCTAAAATAATGGCAATAAAAGAAAAAAAAAACCCACAAAATGGTTTGTTAAATTTAAGTAACTATCCTTGTCAGCCAAATCATGTCCCAAATAAGTACACTTAAAATCTTTATCATTATAAATACATTTTAATAATTCTCAACTTCCCTAATGTCGACTTCACTTTAATTAAGCCTCTTTTATTAGTTCTTATTTCTGGGAGGAATTGTTTTTGAGTTCAAGAGTTTCTGAAAAAAGACAGTTGAGATAATCATTTGTTTTTAAAACATTTAGAAACATTAAGTTGTCTCTCTCTTGGCAAAATGTATCTGACACAAGTACAAGATTTTGTTCATTATTCATGAGAGGCAGTCCAAAAGGAGGGGAATTGTTAAATAAAACTATTTTGGGGATTGGCAGATGGCTTAACGGTTACAACGCTGGACTCCCACGTAGTTGACCATGGTTCACGACCCACACCTGGCGGCTTAAAACTAACGCCAGGCATGCATGCTTATGTGCCCAAAATCCCAAGAGAAGAATGGAGAAGAAGGGATTGTGGTGTGGCCATGTGGCCATCCTCCCTGGGGGGTGATTTCTGGCTTCCTGTCTCTCTGGCAAGCACATGCGCCCTATGGTAAAAACCTCTCTTAAAACAAAAAAACTATTTTGGCCTAAAACAGCCATTGTATTTCCACACTTTGATTGCTATGGATAAGCCAAAATCCTGTATTAGGCTGTTTTTCTGAGCTGGTTGCTAAATTACAGTCAGTCATGGAGGCTATGCTTCAGTCAATCACAGGCATCCCGCCTTTTAAACCGTGTTAATGCAGACACACTTCAGAATGTAACCAAGCATTTCTCTACCTCGCTCCCTCACTTACATTTTGTTTACGACACTTTCCTCTCACTGCACACCTCACTTCCCAGTTCTGCTGACTTAAGAGGCCGAGTTGACCATGAGGCTGGCTGGAGCTGGCCAAGCTGTTTGGAAGTCCAGGGACAACTGCCTGATCTAAACTGTGTTAAGATCTGCTCTATTAAACTCTACTCTATTAAATTGACTTGTTTATTTTTCTTTTAACATTACAAAACAATCAAGTCAGTATCTTCACCAAAATCCAGGAATGAGTAGCATAACAATTTAAGGACTTGGGACCTTCCGAGAACACCGAGCAAAACAAATGGAAACTTCCCAAATGCTTTATTAATCTTATCCTTACTCTTGTTGTTATTATCACTAGAATTGTTAACATTCATGTGGGTCCCACAGCTGAAACTGGGACTTTGAACCTGAACTTCAACACAGTCACACAAGGAGCAGATCATGTCACCCGACATCCCGTTACCCACCACAAAATACCTGAGCCCGCCATCTTGCCAGGAGACTCGGGCATCTGCTGAGCCAGCTGTTTCTCAGCAGGACTGGCGAGCATGGGCACATCTGCAAGAGAAACTGAGTGAGGAAGTCGTCCACTAACAAATTAAAAACACTCCCTTCTTTTCAAATCTTGTATTTCAATAGTAGGTGGAACGGTAAAGTATCTGGGATGACTAACGAGATGACAGCTGCTGAAGTCAACCTTTTCCTTAGTGGGATAAACGTAAGGTTTCAACACCAGAATGTGCAAATCGGTTGGAACAATTAAACTGGGACACAGGCAGGAGGCTGGAAGTTTCTTGTGTTTGTTTAAGATACCACAATTATGAAACTAAAGTGCTAAAGATCACAATGTTTCAACAGAATAGTTAAAAGCAGGGGGCTGTGATCAGAAAGATTACATTTTTTTTTATTATGAATGTTGTATATTTTATTAGCTATTTTTAGACTACAATTTTAAAAGTAGGTCTACTGAGACCAGCAGATGGTGTAAGGGTTATGTCGCTGGACTCCCACATAGTTGACTGTGATTCGAGTCCCGGACCCAGCAGCTTCAAACTCATGCTGGGTGTGTGCACATGTGTGCCCCAAATCCTGAGAGAATAGAGGAGAAAGGACTGTGGCATGGCCATCCCCACTTTCTGTCTGTCTGTCTCTCTGGAGAGCACACACATCCTATATCAAAAACTTCACTAAAAAAAACAAAAACAAAAACAAAAAATCCAAAGTAGGTTTACGGAGAGCACACACATCCTATATCAAAAACCTCACTAAAAAAAAACAAAAACAAAAAATCCAAAGTAGGTCTAATTTATATAAAAGGGACATTTTTGAGGAGTGTGCAATTACATTTAAAACAAGTTAACTCTTCTACTGCTTTACAGTATAGTTTCTTAGATGCTTTAACTTCTGATTGATCAAGACCTATAACATTTTTTGCTGCAAGTTTTTCTATACCTCAGCTTTTAGGTCCAATAGTCCATGATTTGTAAGTATGAATGCACAAGGTTGATAGCAGTAAGTCTTTTAGAAGTGACGTATCTCCTTGCTATGTGGATAATTATTCCCTAACACTTCTGTTGGTAAGTCTTGACTGCTACTTATTTATCAAGGCATACCTTCCCTTAACATAGAGAGACCACCTACAACACTGAAGAAGATGAAGGGAAACGAAATGAAGTACCAGGCAGTGACTGGTACTAAGCCACCTGGACTTGCAGTTTACCTTCGTGGAGCTGGTCAGCTTTGGCTACATGTATGACGAGCACCTCCAGGTTCTGAGATGGCCAATGACATCACGTAACCTGGCCAGAACTAGCTTGGATGTGACAGACTTGGTGCTGACTATCATTCTGTGGGCTGGCTCAGAGGGCATATGTGCCTCTGAGCAGAGCTGAATGACCTCAGGTTGATACCTCTACCCTCCAGTGCTGGGAAGACAGGGTGGATGCTGGCTGCTGCAGAGCAACCAATCAGAACAGTACCAGTTTCAACAATGGACCAATTGGACCGTTGCTTAAGTAGACCAATCAGAACTGCACAAGTCTCAGTCCTTCATTTGAATAGATGAGCCTGGTCGAAGACTTGGATGGGAATAATTCCTCCATAAAATCCCATCCCTGTACAAATTTGGGGTATGATCTTTTGAGCAAACCTGTCTCCCAGATGAGGACACCTGTGATAAAGACTTCTTCCTCGACAACTGTGTGGGTCACACTTTTGCTTCTCTGGCAGAGAGTGACTGAGGACTGGTCTGAACCTCATTTGGTTCGGTACCCATCAGATGACCTGAGTGGTACAAAGAACAGTCACCAGAGTTTGAAAGCTGTGGTGACCACTTTGGATTCTCTTTCCTTTGAAACCTGCCCAGCTTCTCTATCAAAATGTTTTCTGTCCTTTGATGATAACTACAAAACTTGACTGAAAGGAACATCAACTTTCACCTACAAGTTAGGCATGCATAAGAGTTAACTTTCTTCCTTCCTTCCCTGAAGTGATGGGGTGACTGCAGTTCCCCGGCATTCTCCCTGCTTTGAGGCCACGTGCATTTGTACGTATGTGCACTTACATAGGTGCTCCAAGTTCCGGATCATCCATGGACATCCCAGCACATGCTGGGTTCACCCCACTGCTCTGTTCTTACAGCCTCCTCCTTGGCTGGCCCCCACCTGTGCCTTCCACTTTACTGCCTGCAGCCTCCTGCTGGGATCTCCAGCCACGGTGATGCTGTACAATGTGGGAAGGTTAAGTTTCTAGTCTCGAGCTGCAGACCAATCCCACAATCACTTGTCCCCAACAGAAGCCCTTTAGCTCTCACTGGGGCTAGCCTGGGATTCTCCCATTGCTTTTCTGAGCCACTCTCTACCCCACGCCTGCCTTGCAAGAGCCATCTGCGTTTGTCCATGATTTTTGGCAGTGACTTCATGGAGAAAGGAGAGGCCGTTATGTAGGAGCTTGTCCTCTGCCTCATCTTTCTATTTCCAAACTTGCCTTCTGTCTTTGATTGCAATGCACAGATGCATTTATGGAAACCGTTTCTGGGGTGGGGAAAGAAGGAAGCAGCACAACTCCTCCACCTTAAGTCCTGAAACGTCACAATGTCTAAAAATGCGTACCTCAGAATAAGAAAATGGAGTATTGTTCTGGGCCCCACGCTTCTCTCCAGGTTTCCCAGGCGGCATTCAGAGTCTGAATCCCAGTCCTTAGGGAGACCCTTCTGAACATCCTGTCTAAAAGTGGCCACCCTCAGCCAGCCATGGCAGGTGGTATGGCGGGAACATCATACTCCATGACGTTGAAACAACATGGGAAGATCCCATGAGGAGCTGAGGACTCTACATGCCAGGAGCACGTGCATGTCCGTGATCCTGGCAGGCAGAGGCTGCGGAGATTACGGCCTGAGGCTCTGTTGGTTGCCTGGCTCAGTCACTCACTGGCTCTCTTTCTCTCTGTGTATGTCTCTCTCATGGAAAAATATGTAAATAAAAAAGAGTAAAAATAGCTGCTCAGCTCCATGCCAATTTCTTCTTTCTGCTCTCATTATCCTTCACTAAAGTTACCTTTATAGTAAATTATTTATCTATCTCCTTCTATTAGAATGTAAGCTCCAGAGAGCAGGGGCTTGTTTTGTGCACTGCCAGGATGCCAGTCCCCAGAAGAGCATCCGGTCATCAGACAATATATTATTTAATGAATGATAGAACTACTAACTCTCAAACACAAACGTAACAACTCTATAGTTGTTAAAGGACTTTTTATGGAGTCCTTGGATCCTGTTTCCTTTTCCTTGTGAGAAAATTTATTGTGGATAGTGTATATAGTCCTTGTCTCCATGTATTAAGTTCTATTCTTCCTGCAACCTTCTAGAATATTTAACTTCCACTAAGAAGTACTAAAATACTGCTCAGAACATGGTCAGACTAGATGCTCAACCATTCATCTCACCAACCTTCCACTAATTCCTGATATTAACATCTGTGTTTATAGATGTGAGACTGAGTATCTGTACAAGGTCACAAGCCTAGTGAGAAGTGGATTTGAACCCAGGTCTGTTGGACACCTAAGCTGTTCTCCCTCCATCTGACACACTAAACTTATTATAGTGCTTTGCAATTGGCCTGGTGATAGGTCAGTCTTCTCCAATAACTGGTGAGTGTAACATAATCCATCTCAATGTGGAGAAAATAAAGGTCTTTTTAAACAACCTTCTTTTCTAATCAAGGAGTGTAACTTCTAGGAGAGTGAAATTTGCTTCTTTTAATAGCCAGAGGGTGAGATACTTGCCAGAGAGAGACACACAGAGAGAGAAAGCATCCCCCAACGAGGCAGGATCACAGTGCAATGTTTTCTTCTCCATTTCTCCACCTTGTCAGGAGTTTGGGCACACCCATGTGCCTGGTATGTTTTTCAAGCTGTCAGGGCCAGGATTCAAACCATCATTGGCCATGTGGAATCTGGCTCTTTTAACCACTAGACTACGGGGTCGGCCTGAAAGCTTTCTTCTTCTAACAGGAATCTACAGCATCGTTTCCAGACAGACTGTTAATGGTGTCAATGAAATGTTCACAGAGCAATCTGCAATGCCCTGGGACATAAAAGCAGGCTTCTTATACAAGTGACCTCCCTTTACAGAGTTTCTGGAAAACACATCAGGCTTATACTAGAGCATAACTTCAAGTATTTGTGAGTTTGTTTGTTTTCTTTTAATTGCAAGAGGGTGTGTGTAGTCACGAGAGAGAGAGAGAGAGAGAGAGAGAGAGAGAGAGAGCGAGCATGCGAGCAAGCACAAGAAGAGAGAGAAAGCACCCTCTGCTGGGGTGTGCTCACACCACAACCCTCCCTCCTCCATTTCAGCATTCTGTCAGGATTGTGGGCGTGCACACATTTGTGCCTGGCATGTTCTTCAAACTTCTGGGTTTTGAAAAGTGAGCAGCCATGTGGGATCCACCTCCCCTAATCACTGAGCTATGGACTCAGCCCAGAATAGAACTCTAGTAAAATGACAAGTACCCAATGAACTAATACCACTTTTGAGGGCTAACAATGTTGTGTTTTTGTTTTGTTTTGTTTTGTTTTGATGAGCAAAAATAAAGGAAGATAACAATACTAAGGTCTTCTGTAACTTTAAAAATAATGTAAACTTTTTAGAAATTTCCCAATGACAATCCCAAACCCTCTGCTTCTAAAACTGGGGTCGCTTAATAATATTAGACCCGAAAGAAAAAATCTTTAAAAGAACTCCTCAGTGCCTCATGTAGCAAGTTCTGCCCCTCTAGTCAGTGTGATAAAACATCCAAGCTATGTGTATGGTTCAGATCTGGGGCCTTTTTATTTGGGGTTGGGTAGGAGTTTCTAAGAGAAAGGTAAGCAAGACTGCACTGCGTGGAAAGCAGAGAGCAGAGATCTGGCTGTGGCTGTCCAGGCCCCACCGAGTGAATCTGGACAAAATAGGAATCCGAACCTTTGCTGGCCGTGGGTTCCCCGCAGTAGCATGAGAACATTAGACACTCATGTCGGTGTTTCTCAAAGCATGGTCTGTAGAACCTGGGGAGGCTTAGACACTC